TAACAATTCAATTATTAATTCGGAAAACATCGCTGAGTAGGAAGGTGATCTGTTGTTGGTTTCCAAATAGGAAGATTTATATTGTTTTATTTTATTTCCCGTTACTTTACTTAAACATAAATTGCTATGTCATCATGGTTACGGATTCGTAGCAGTTACTTAATGATAACTTACTAATTCGTAATAACCGTGTTCATGCATTTTAGTAGATAAAATATAGAATTGATAATGCTTAATAAAATGTTGGATACAAAAAAAAAATAGCTGATAATGGGAGAGAACTATTACGTATCAACTTTTAAGTTAATTTTTTCATTGATGTAAGGTAGGAAAACGTAACATTTACAATAATTCAGACGCCAAAAACAGTGCTTCGTCAACAGAGGGAAACTATTGTGAGATGATAATATTACATAACTGTACAAAGAGAATTATTTCGATTCCCCTATCAAACCCTCTTGACTGTTGACAGGTAGTAGTCACAAAAATCAGAGGAAGTGCATCTGCACTTACAGGAATAGAGAATTTAATAAACTCAAAACTATATCTAATGTTGAAATCACAATGAAGTTATTTTTCATTATTATTGATCCCATTGTGGAAATTCAATATTTATTCTTAAATATAATTATGTATCTAAATAATATTTAGTTATTTAGTTAATTTTTAAGATTGTACCACCGTAATTAAATCATTAGCATAATTATGAAGTATGAGTGCAGACTGGGTCCAGTTTCGAACTATCAAAAAGCTACACACTTTTGTCAGGATCGACCCAGCGACCTCTTTAGGTGATTACTATAACCCTAGGATATGTAAATACGATTGCGATTGATATAACAGCCCCAGTCTTCTCATTAGCCTCATATAGCCTCTCACTGTCTGTTTTAATCCACTGCCGACGGACATCATAATTTTCAGAAAGAGGTTAATGGTCTCTTTGACCTTGTCTTTCCCCCGTCCGATGGACAAATAAGACCTGTGCGTGGCAAGTATTTAACAAAGCAATGAGTCAGCCGGGACATTGCAAGGGTGAACTGTAGTGATTACTCATCAACCAACCAACCAATAACCACTAAGCTAACCCAGGATACAAACCAAAAGAAAAAAAATCTGCCTTAACACGAACGCAGTATGCTAGTGTTTGCTAAGTAAACACATGTCACGAATAAGTATACCAACAATGTTTATAACATTGGCTCGTTCTTCTATTTTTAATTTAAAATATAAAGGAAACGTGATTGTATTTTCAGAATCGATGGAGTTATAGTATTTTTATGAGTAAAATAATGCAGGGAACTTCAATCAATTATATTTGAAATATAAATTAATTTTATATTCAGAGAATAGAATGTAGACGACTACTTTGTTTTTTCCTTATACGTTATAAATAATGATAAAACAATAAGTTGGCTTTGTGTCCACATAAAATAGTTATGAAATATTTAAAACCATATTTTAATCAATTGGTTGTTAGGATAAATATATTTTAACACTACGAAATTAGAGTTAATCATATTATTTACCCTTTGGGCTATTTGTGTATTTCTGTTGAATAGTGGAATTTTCCAAATGTTAAACAATAATACATGATCATTTACAAAATTAATTTAAATTTGTAATAAATCATCAGAAAGATGTAAGCTTTGTACTAAACAGCACTCTTCCTTCCCCTTGGCAACCTTAATCATTATGTACAGATCGTTAATCATAATTATATTGTTTGTACAGACTCTGCTACATCAATCACATTTAAAGGAAACAGTTTTGCAACATTACACTTGCAATTTGGTTTTTTAAACATTAATCTAGGATTATCACGAATGATATATTTTACAGTAACAGGTTAAAACTACTGAATGCAGTAATATATATACAGGGTGACAAAAAAGTCTGGAAACGGTTTAATATCTTTTTAACTAAATCCTTTAGAAAATTCAAACCTTTCACATCAACTTACATGTATGAAAACAACTTTTTCCAAGCATTGTCATTTTTTTACCTCTACCAGGGGACGACCCATGAGGAGTAGGTACATAATCTTTAATGTAAGCATAGGTTGATATGCACACCATTTTAAAGGGTTAGTCAAGAGGAGTTCATTGCCGGAAACCGCGTCCAAAAAGGTTCATCCGTTACAAAATGGCAGCTGTTCAAAGTTCTTGTGAAATATACCTGCACAGGCCTTAGTATGGGCAAATACTCGTATTAAACATTAGCTTGAGAGCTTAAACTGTATTTTAAATTCAACTAGCTCATATAATAATAGTATTCAATCTTCAAAACAAATTTAACCGGGTTTCAGATTTCCCTGCTAATGTTGACTATGAGTATTTACCAATACTAAGGCCTCTGCAGTTATATTCCGCAAGAACTTTGAACTGCCGCCATTTTGTAACGGATGAACCTTTTTTGACGCGGTTTCCGGCAATAAACTCCACTTGACTAGACCTATTAAATGATGTGCATATCAACCTATGCTTACATTAAAGATTATGTACCTACTCCTCGTGGGCCGTCCCCTGGTGAAGGTGAAATAATGGCAATGATTGCAAAAAGTAGTTTTCATCCATGTAAGTTGATGTGAAAGGTTTGAATTTTCTAACGGACTTAGTTAAAAAGATATTAAACCGTTTCCAGACTTTTTTGTCACCCTGTATATATATATATATATATATATATATACTAGCTGTGTGCCCGTTCTACGCACGGGGATCTTATTGTAGTCAGTTATTGAAACCTTTTTATTAAGAACAGAATTTGGTTTGCATATTTTCAGATATGCTGGCAAAACTATTATACAGTATATAAACCTTCGCAAATACAGTATCTGACAGTTTCAAGCCAAAACAAATGCTTCGAAATTAAATGTAACCTGGGTCGTGTTGGTCCATATGTTAAATCCAATGATTAAACTAAAAAATGCTTTATAGATCTATGAGGCATAGCCCTAATGTAGGCCTATAATTGAAAGTTACCTTCCACAATGGTTAAAAGTATTTAAGGTACTACTTCAACCTCCCAATTTAACACTTTATTCGTGTTGACATTTTCATTATAAAGGTACTTTTGTCCTTTCCGTGAAACACTGAGAAATAAGGACATTAATGCTTTACTAACAGACATACACACAAAAATACAGAACTTAATTAGGGGGTTTGCTACGCTTTAAGCATAACAAAGTACTTGTAAAATTAGTATCTAAAATATTTTGTTAATGTCATCAAATTTCATCATAACAATGTATATTTGCTTGGACCGATGATGACCCGAAATGACGGCTTACTATATGAAATGAAGACGACTGGTCCAGGGTGGTCCAGCCACCCTGGTATAGACGATTGGTAATTTATAGTAAATATTACCAAAATAGGCCCCGAACTATTGATACATAAACAACGTAAAGCGTTTAAACAATTCATTATGGTTAGCTGAATAAATGTTTTACTAAAGTGCGTTATCGTTTTCTTAGCATAAACTAACATTTTGGAATCAAGAAAGAAAAAGCAAAAATTGTACAGTTAAGACATAAATTAAATTGAATACGCCTGTAATAATAAATAAGGTGCAACACCAACGATAACTAATTTGTAAAGTACAGTGATGTGTTGGTACTTAAAAATGATTCTTGCTACTACGAACAGTACCAACGGTTCTAAGGAATAGAACCGGTACCAAAAACCAACGTTCACAGTTGAGAACTATAGTACAGCCGACCAATTATATGAGTTAATCAAGTCCCGAGGTTATTGATCTCTTGGTTTTTGATTTTCTCGTAAAACGTTTTAAAACGGCAATCAAAGTTTTTTCCCAATAATTGCTTTATTTGTAAACAACTTTTAATGTAAACTTATCGGTGTCAGTTTTTAAAAAAAACAACCTCATACAAACAACTTTTTGTTATTTAATAGATTAGGCCCTACGTAGGCCTACCTATTCTCTAAACAATGATTGGTAAAGGCTATCTTAGAAGGAAATGTGACAAAAATCACACAACGTTGGGTTTTTGGACGTTTGTAATTTTATTTCTTAAGTAGGTAGGCCGTGTATTCTAGGGAAAAGTACCAGTATCAAGGATCGTCGTCGAACAGTTTGTTATGAATAATTGGGTAGGCATACGTACCCAAGAGCATGGCTGTATGGTCCAGCGATTGCATCACACGGTGAGTAGGTACTATTGACTATATATATATATAGTCAATGGTAGGAACAGAAAATAACACATTAGGAAAGCGAGTTTTGCATCATCCGTAAACCTCTGTTACAATCAACCACTGCAGTTGTGATTTTTTACTTACCACTTTACACAACCGCCATTGAAGCGCCGTGTCAATGAGTGGAAACCATATTTCTAAGCCATTGGCGACGATCATTATTAAATTTAAAGTTTCCCAGCCGTATACAACACTGATTCAAGGTCTTCTTTCTGGTTATCAAAACTCAAGAACAATTTATACACAAAGAATCTCTGGTTCCTGAACTGGATGATGCCTAGTTATTTAATTTCATTTACACGGTTACACTATTACACTATATTATTGCACTTTTGATTAATTAAATCCGTTATGTAAGAAAAACGTTTTTAATCACTTGGGATTTACATTCAAAACGTGATTGAAAAAGGTTGCGGTATTTGTAAACAACATTTGTAAACATATCAGTGACAGCTAGGAAAAATAATCTTGATCCGAACAGCTGTTCGTTATTTCATAGATGATATATCTTTAAAGTAGATGATTATTTGGGATTTATATACAGATAAGGATTGTGATAACAAATTTCAAAATTAAGTTTAGGTTAGTTGTTTATATTGGATGGATCTCATCGTGACTGAAAAGAGACGAGTAAGTGGAGAATAGTTATTTCATTCTATATGATAATGGAAATAAATTGATGCCAGTAATTCCCTCTTAACTTATCAGTTGTCAATTTATTTTATCAACACTTACCTTATCAACTAACCCACCTTAGATAAGCCAGCCCTCCTTCATAAGTTAATCAGTAGTATATTATGCTGTCTTTAACTTTAAAAGTGATATGTGTTTTCTGACTAATTCATAACACAATCCATCCTAGTGGAAGAAATAAAATTGTGTCCAAATCATGGCAGAGTCGGTGAGTTTATTTTTAAGGTTAATCCATTCACGGTTGTCTATGTCTAGCACTATTTTAAAATCATATTATTATTTCATTCAGACTTGATTGAGTTGTTATCCTTGTGATTGTTAAAGGGGAAATTTAATAACTTTATGGTCACCACAAACAAGTAGGTATATGTTTAGTTTCCCATAACGTTTTCTGACGATATTAAAGTGTGGTTCACATCTTGTCTGTAAACCGATAAATTACAAAGAGATCCATATTGTCTAATTATTCAATAAGTAATAAATAGACGTCTTAAATGAACATATCAATTAAAGAAGGTGAAGAAGGTAAAATGTTCAAAATTTGTGTGGTAAGTGTGTCTTTTTTGTTGCTGTGTATCCTCATAGTGTTTGGTCTTTGCTTAAGTTTTTTTTTTTCAAACAAAAAAAGGATAGATGAAGTTTTGAACCTGTAAAAACAATCGATTGTATAACATTAAAACCAGGTTTAACAACTTTTAAAAGTGGGTGTTTTAAAACTATTATTATTTTAACAATAAGTAATACCATAAACAATCGAAATGTCAAACTATAGGATGTACCTATGTTGAACATTTACAGATAGGGTGTATTTAAAACACAAGCCAAACAAATTAAACTAATAGTATAAAACATGATAATAATAAATAAACTAATTAGCTTACATCTCTACTGTACATTCTTTGGTTTCTTAATGTATAAAATAGTTAGTAAATATTCAACAGCTTTTCAGTGATGGGGAGTGTCGACCTATCGAGTTTCTACTGTACTTACATTAAATGGCTAAAGGTTGACTCTTTATACAATCTAGACATTCCATCCCCAAATCCCAATTTTTTTTTTATCAAAATCGTCGTAGTTGATGTGAGCCACTGACATATATATTGTAGGCCTACTGATGCAAATTACTGGTTCCTTTTGAATACACCAACTTTTTTACTAAGTCAAGCTAGTGAAATTATTTATTGTGAGCAATGGCAACTATTATGATCTATCAAGATCAACCTATGCCAGCAACAAAAAATAAGGTACAAAAAAATTTATAACATTATAGCGAATTATATAACTGGCTCATACAATTACGGTTGTTTTTATGAAAAATTGGAGAAAGCTGGTCCGTATAAATTGGATGTCTACTATAGTACCCATCCAATTATCCCAAATATCTACTTCTGTATTATTCCGTCAATGCAATAATGAATTACATTTTTTGAACTCTCCCTGTATAGGAGGAAAACTACTTAAATACCATGGCATCTAGTCCTACATATTAAAATAAGCCTTGCAGTAAAATGGTTTTTGTGTTTGAAAATATCTATTTCTATAAAAGAGGAAATACGTATGTATGTATATACCCTATGAACTTAGAAACCAATCAACGTATTAATAAAAACCATGCATTTGTTAGAACGACTAATTGAAGTAAAATATATGATAATGATACCATAAATTTTCATTTTATTTTTTAGGAAAACTTTAAAACTAAATGGAAGAACATCACGTCAACTCTGCAAAAGATTGTAGAATGTCCAGTGTGTCTGGATACAATCCAAATTCCATTTAAGACATGCAGCAGAGGCCATGGGGTTTGTAACTGCTGCTGCGAGAAGTTAAATGACTGCCCAACATGCGAGGGTCCATTTACAACAGAGAATCCTGTGTGTTTGAAAAACATTTTGGAAGCCCTTCCTCGACAGTGCAAGTACAATGGAGATGGTTGCGAAGACATTCTGGAGCCCGGGAGTGACCATGAAGACTTTTGTGGATTTAGACCTGTAGAGTGTAGGGAAACCGATTGCAACACTGTGATTCCTGCGATAAAACTGATGGATCACTATGAGAAAGAGCATTGTGACACACTCTATAAGTATGAAGCAAATTCATCTTATCCTTGGACTTGGCGACAGTTTGATCCTGAGGAATACGGCATTTATCATAATCTCATCTTCGTTTTTGACAATATATTCTGGATTACTGAAAATTTAAATCAGAAAAATTTCGAACTTACCTTTGAAGCAACTCCAATTGGGAAGTTTAAAAAAGAATATTTTGTAAGATTCAAGTTTGAAAAGGGTGAGTTTGTATATGTGTCTACATTAAAGGCTTCTAAGGTGAAGTGTTCTGAAAAAGGGGAGAAAAGTAACACAGATGATGAAAATAATTGCATGAGGATTCCACAGAGTGCCTTATATAAGCTTACTGATAAAGGAAATCTTGCATGTGAGATTACGTTTTTTTAATTCCAAAAGTAAAATCTCCTTACTATCATGAAATTTGTTCAAATTGTGTTTGATTTTAAGTTGTTTAAGTTTTGTGTATGAATCTTTGACATTTCAGGGTCTCCTCCCTAAGCTGGGTACAATACCAGCCTCTTCAACAAGATAACACTTGAACAATCTATTATGTTATGTATTTTTTATTATATTTTTAAGGTTAGGGTAAAGATGTTAACCTTCTTTGTGAACAGGTAATATGTATGCTGTCATTGTGGAGTATCTATGGTTCAATGAGCAAAAAATGTTTTAACCTCTAATACCGAAGTGAAAGGTAACTTATCATGCATATATTAATTTGTAAACAGCTAGATTATTGATTAAATAGTGTGTTAAGTGTTAAACAGCATAGTTATAGAAATATTACCATAAAAACCAAAAACCTACATATTTTTCAGTAATACAAACCACCCCCATCCCAAACATGACGCCCAAATGGTGTAATGTTTTACCATACAATACTATATTGAACAATTTTGTGTTTATCGTTATCGATAATAACTATCAAGATATTTCATAAATAAAAAAAATCAATGCATAAAACGGAGTACCTAACTTTTTTATTATACAATACAGGAACTATAGTGAACAGTTGGAGTCAAAAGTTAGCTTTCTCTTTGGATTTTGAGGCTTAGGTGTATTTGCACCATTCACCAAATCAAATCAAATCATCCTTTATTCATTTTGTAAAAATATACAAGAATAGTGTCAATTATTAAGAATACCAACATACAAATTAAGCCGTACAAAAGTCAGCGGAAACCGTCATTTAGCTTATAGCAACATTTGTTTATACTTATAGCAACATTTACTATTATTACTTTCTTTTTTCTTACACTTTACACTTTTTAAATACTTCCATAATGCTTACGTTATCTACTGTGGCTTCCTAGTAAAATTGTTTTTCCCCTTTTTGTAAATGTGTAATTTGTATGTAGAGTAATAACTGTTATAATGGTGTTATATTGTAGAATATGGATGGACTGGTTATAACACATTCACTACGCATAGGCTTCGCCTAAGTGGGGGAGATCCATTACTATTTAGAATACTGTTTTGTAATTTTTGTTTTCATAATTTGATTTGTTTTTGTTACATAACAGCTTAAATAATTTTGTTTAAATGACCTGAGAGAATGTGCAGACAGGTGGATTATGGAATCAGGCAGGTTATTGTAAAAGTGTAAACCAGAATCAATTTTTTGTTTATATGTAGAAAACTCTTATAAAGAATATTAACATATGTTAAATACACATTCTGAAAGAAGTTAGACCAATCCTCTGATTTTAAACATTAGGAAGTTGGAATTATTTACATTAGAAAAATTTCTCAAAATTATTGTTTTAGCGAATTTCCCATATAGGAAAAAAACTATTGCCGTAGTACTCATGGTATGACCTGTACCCGGCCGATTTACTTTTTCGTTTTGAGGGTCCTAGAGGAAAAAAACACCATCCGTTCAGATGCATATATATATATTCTATAGTAATTGTTCATGTTCAATTTAGTATTTGTTTTTTTTTTCAAAGATATGACAAAACATTTAACTTCTTTTTATTTTAATTATTTCTTTATTTTGTTATTTTGTCCATGAAGTGGTGAGCGACATAGAAGACTCTCCCCACACGCAGATGTACAAAAAAGAGGGTTAAGCTTTGTGGGGATTTTTTCCTTTGTACATTTGTTTTACGCCACGATTGTAATATCTGATTTGTAATTTTGGAAATAAAATAATATTCTTATCTTATCTTATCTTTTATATTCAATTTTATGCCACCTGAGCATTAAGTGTAAATGTTATATATGTGTCCGTGAACACGATAGTTCAAATAATTTTTGTCCGATGTTGATACAATTTTGTGTAAAGGTGGGATACGCTTGAATGGGTTCGCGAACCAGAATGATCGGACCACGGGAACGGGGTCTTTATGGGGGTAAAAATTGGTTTTTCTTATTTTGGACCCTCAAAACACAAAGTTCCCAATTTCTATCTAGACCTTTTTAGGTGCTTAAAAACAAATAATTTAGTATATCAAGGCGTTTTTTTACGGTTAGTGGTATTAAAGACAATTAAAAACATTGTAAAATTTAAATTCCCATGTTATTCTTATAGGGAATATTGTAAAATGTAGTTTACTCGTTAACGGATACATTTTGATGAAACTTGACAATTTTTTTTTTATTAAGGTAATATTTTACTAAAAACCACACTTAACTAGTTTCCTTGTAGCAGCAAACCAAGGTTATTTAAATAGATTTAATGAAAATCATTTCGGACGAATAGAAATACGTTTAGTCGGCAGGTTTGCTGCGGCGGGAGTATTTAACGTATAAGTAGCTTGTTTGTTTTTCGTCAGTGAGCTTACTAACTATGATGATCATATTGTTTTGGAATTGAAATAAATAACGCTTATAAACTTTACTATTAACGTTAAGTTTTTAATTATTAAAAACAAAATAAAAGTTAATTTCCAGATATCTTTATTTAAAATTACCTAAAGGTTTTTCAAGCTTTACAAACTTTAATTTTGCTTATTTGAGGCAGATATTTTGCAGTTATATCACTTACACATATTTGTTGGTAGGGTAAAACCTGTGTTTGTGACTACCGGTACAGCATCAATAAAAAACTCTGCAAACAAAAGGCAAAGGGCAAAGGGGGTAAAGTATCTTAATTTCAGGTCCGAATAACTAATTTATGGTAAGTATTCACAACTATATAAAATCAGTGATGTTCCTAATGTGAACATCAAACTATTTGTATGTCATTCTTATAATATGAAGTTGAGCAGTCAATTTCTAGTATATAGTTACGAGTATAGCTTTAGTTTTATTCTTAATTTTCTAATAAAGTACGCATTAATTTTACTGTAATAAATTGTGAACGGAACAATCAATCCAAGAAATGGCTTTCGACGCTTTTCTGTATTCAGTTTTTGATTTAAACAAAAACACCAGGTCAAATATTTTATCGAATGGTTAATTCAATTTAGTTGCAAAACTCAATCGGCGTTTCCAAACCGCGTGGATGTGAGGGAGGATCGTCGGTCAAGTCTCTGAGGGACGCCGTTCATTTTATTGAACAGAGACTATATTTGATAATGTTGTTAAACACCGAGAACGATTGTTTAATTGTTTTGAAACGTAATTGTTAATTAACAAGTAGGGTTTTGTCAGAATAACTGTAAACATAATTTACATTATTGGAGCAAGGAAATCAACATTCAGTTGATCCCTGGAGTGTTTTACAAACATCGGCTTATAAGTAAGCTCATTTACGTTGTTTTTGGATACAGACAGTTTTACATCAAAATCGGGTTGGAATTAACTTCGAAACGACGGATTATGGAATCAATTTGTTTGGTTAAAATTTATATTCACCCAGTAGGGGATTGAAACTGATTCCCGTTGGTTTAAAAACAACACATTTTAAGTGAAATTACAACAATGAATTTAAACTTGAAAATTTGTAGTGCGTGTGCATTGGAATAAGACTAATTGTAATGTATACTTTTGGTGTAGCTAGAACAAATAATGCTTTCTAAAAATATTCGTCTCGTTGTGGGTGGTGAAACGAGCCATCGTGTTGCCTACATTCCCATCATTTGACATTTCGTAGCTCAAACTTTTTTACAAAGTGTCATCCATGCTGACAAATAGTACATACAACATAGTAATTTCCAAGGAGTTAATGTTTTTAGCCAAAGTAATACTCTATTTCACCTCTCACTGACTTTATACCCCATTCTTTTTCTGTCTCCATTCGGGTTTAATCGAAATACGATTCGTTGAGGATGTCCTACTAATGTGTTCGCTATACGAAATGTTATACTTATTTTCCAAGCCAAAGATGGCAAATTTTTGTAGCTAACCATACAAATCAACGATAGTTTCTTTCTTCAATATACTAGTGAAGTTGTTGTTAAATAAATTGTTTACACCTAATTAGATTGGTAAGAAAGTGTAAATTTATATATTTTGACTTAATTTCAATAGTAAAAAAATGTGTTTAACATACTCGTAGCTTACGTATAGCTTCAAGACAAACTAACATTGTTGACTTGAGTATATCCCGGGGCTAGGTAGTATATTACCATGAAACCTACGGTATCAGATTATTATTTTTGGAAAATTTTCTAAAATATTTGGAATAATTTTGAACCCCAATTAATTAAAAAAATATATGGAAACAAATTAAGTTTACTTCAATTCGTTATGCCTTGAATTAAAAGTTAATATTTACTTTAGTTGTTGAAAATTGAAACAGTTGATAAAACAATAACAAATATTTGTTTGTTTACTCAGCAAAATCCAAAAAAATAGTAAACATTATTTTGCCGTAGTAAACAATCGCAGATGAGTTTTCGCAGGTGATAAACAATATTGTACATACATGTAACGAAAACGGGTCATTTCACAGTAGTGTAGCAAAAGGTTTTTGTATGTCGATATGCTCCTACCTAATAAGTGCTAATTGGCATAAGGGAACAGTCTGCAATTAAAGTTTGTCATAATTATTGTCAAACTGATCAGCTTTTTTGTCAACTGTGTTTGGGTTGGATAATATTTCTTAGTGAATGAGTTTAATATAAACATAATAGCTCAAGATTCACATTCAAAATTAATCTTGAGTTAATCAGACACATTACTACAAATTATAAATGTATTCACATTTTGCACATATTTAACTTTAGAAAGGTTTAATGTCAACCAAACTATGATTAGAAAAGTCATTTTATGGTTCATCATGATAGATGTGGTTTGGTTTGGAGTTTTGAACGGTACTTTTTGTAAAACTTAATTTTAAATGGTATTTATTATATTTATAAATCCGTAATATAAACTAAGATTCCGTTTAGTACGACAATGGTGAACTTTTCTTAATACGCTGCACGTCTGGCCGAATTATATTCTTTATTTTCGAAACTGGCCGGTGCATTGGGTTAGAACATCTTCTTTAAGAGAACGTGGCCTCGTAAAAATGCATTATCAACTACCACCACATGTGATATTTAATTCGTGAATAGAAAGGCAATTAATTGGTGTATTGATGTATTGTTTCGTCATATAAATATGTATTGATTCGTCATATTCGTGTATTGATGAAATTTATTCTGGTAATGAATAAGCAAGCTCACACACTCAACTATTGAAGTAGGCCTATAACTAGTTATGTGTTGGATTATGAAATAATTAATTTCTATGTTCTAAATTGCAATCAGGTAGAAGGCAAAGAACAGAAATATTACTACTAGATTCCAAAAATAATATTTCCGTTATCGTCTTAAGAAAAAATAAGACAAGATTAAAGGGGACTTCAAATTTTTCATGACATTTCGACTTGTAATACATCAAAACTGTTTCAGGCTAAAGCTCCTACAACGTAGATGTTTTAATGTCAACTACGAACTTTTCATCAAATTTGTAAAAAAGAATAAAATAAAATAATATATTTTATTCTTTTTATTTCAAATTGATCTATGGACATAATTATGCAGTACAGAATTTCTGTTAGCATATATAATAAAAAGATTATCAAAAATTCAGCTCAGGTAAAAAAAAACAAAAAACAAATCAGCAATATGGATTTAAAAATGAAAACAACTTTATTGTATTTTGCGCATCCATCTTTCCCCCCTACAGTTACCTGACGAAATGGGCTTCCTTGCATTACTTAGCACGCCAAGTAGTTAATTGCTGTATTTACTCACTTTTGCCGCACTCTATTTTTAACCGCACTCGAGTATTCCAACCAAACAATAACATGACAGTGTGCTTTTATTAG